CAAACCTTTCAGCTTCCTTCCCTGCCACGTTGCCCGACCATCAGCAAAGGCCATTGGAGAAATGTTTTATTAAATCTGCACAGTTCAGCACCCATTCAAGACGATTTTCAATCCCTCGGTCGGAGCGGTAGGAGCGGCAAATATCTAAATTGAAGCATCGAAAAGTACATTGAATAAATTGAGCTGGATTTGCTTTATAAAGCAAATCACCACACTGACAAAGAGCGAGAGAGAGAGGGTTTGCGAACACCCCGAGTGCATGTGTGCATGATGCAAGACGTTGCCGGTAGTTGGCCGAGTTTTCTTGTTCACATCAGACTTAACATCATCCATTCAATGTGCATAGTAGAGCAGTAGTGGATTGTTTCAACGATGATGATGATGATGATGATGATGATGTGATGAAGTTATTGCATTTTGCCTCAGCCCGGTGCCATTTCGATAGAATTGAAACCTGTCATTCAAAGGGATTGAGGGGAGATTTCTCTGTTTCTAAAAGGAACAACTGTTTTCATAACGCATCGGAATTGAATCTTGTCATAAATGCACCCCTGACTAGAAGGATAGAAGTAATCTCTTTGGAATATTTCAAAAACGATGCTCTTCAGTACAATTTAGACAAAAGGAACGACATAAGATTTATCTTGACCAACAGAAAGCACTGTTCATTTAAATAGAAAGCTGGTAATCCTATTATGAGGAATTATGAGTACAAACTTCATCGAAACAAAGACCTTTCAAGCGTTATAATTTTTGCTATAGGAAAACATGCATCAACGTCAGAAAACCACAAAATGCCTCAGCTAATACGAGCAATCTTTGAAGCTCAAAGAACTTCAATTTAGCTGATTGTTCGATTGGTTGCCTTGGAGGTAGCAATTCTCCAATCAGTCGGTATCCGCAGGACAATTACTGATTGGAAACTCGAGAACAATTGGCCACCCCTCTAAGGCTGTGGATCTAATTATATAACATATTCTACCGTTGTTGATTAACTGCGTGCGCTCAATTGGTCCCACAGCAATAACATTCATAATCGATGACATCCGGGAATGTTTCGTATCATTACCCGCACTCTTCCCGTGCGAGGAAATTGAATCCATTAACTTTCTTCCTTGGTTTAAAAACGGGAAAAAAATGATACCTAAACGGAAGCGGAAACGAACCTCCTCAATCCGGATGATGGACGCATTGTGCTGTAAAAGTTCTTTCCATCTGAGCGAGAAGGAGAAGTCTCTACTATCCTTCTACGGAGTGGCAGTACATCATATCTTACACGGTGTGGCAAGAAAAAGGCATGCACCTGTTTGGGTTGCCCTCGCCGCACTATGGAGATACAGGTGGCCAATAATACAGCAATTCCTTAGCAAAACGATAAAGTGGTTCTCAGAATTTCGTAAAAATGTGTAGTTTTGTCCCTTATCGTAAAATAAACGACCTGTTTTGTTTTTAATTTGTCATTAGGGTGACCAATTCTATGTAAGGTTGGTTCGAAAAATCGATTAGATTAAAAAAGAGTTAGTGCGGATTGTGCTTAATAGGTCGGAAATAGGGTAGTTAACCCTATCGATAATTTATTTAAAGTTTCAATATACGTATAATTATAAAGATGTTGTGCGTTTTTTTCATGAAAATTATTTTAATATTATACAATCTGGTGAACGTTCAATACTTACAGATTTCTTATTTTATCGAAAAAATATTCCCAATTCCTAATCTCATCTCATCTATTTATCTTTATCAATTTACAAAATTATGTTTGAAAATTTAACCTTGGTAGAGATCTACCATTTTATTCGATGAAAGTTTTTCAATCATCATCATTAACTTGAACATTTGTTAGAAACATTTTATTTTAGATTTTTCTTAAAGAATGGGTTAGGATTCGTTTAAAAAAACTACAAGGGACAGTCTTATGGGGTTGTACGCAATGGTAGGACTACGTGGTCTTATATAATAAATGGTAATGTTTATCTTTATTGGGCCAGGTATTAATCTGAACCATATTTTAATTATTTTCCTTACCTAATTTTTATATTTTGATTTTCTGTTCTATTTACTATCGTACAGATTTGTGGTACAAGCAGAAGCAATACTTTTGTGCGCGGAATCTGACGAAATATTGCTTGGATTGTGCTGGGTAATAGGAGTGTACCCCATTAGGCATAAATACGTTAGACATAAGGACGTTAGGCATACGGACGCTAGGCATAATGGACGTTAGGCATAAAATCATTAGGCATAATGGACGTTAGGCATAATATACGTTAGGCATAATGGACGTTAGGCATATAATACCTTGCTGCTGTGCAACTCTAGAAACCTGTTTCGAGCATGGTGAACAATGCTGCGTTGCTAAGCGTTGAATAAAAAATGATACAAGTTAAACAAGCATAGTTTCTTTAATAAGCACAGTATGGAATCCATTATTTATCATATCATAAGTGACGTAGCTACATATTTACTTAGATCCAAGATTAGTAGCGATAGCGGTTAAGTAATCTGGCAATGAAAACTCAGCATAGTTTTGAACTATAACTTGAAATCAATCGCATCTAGAAATAAAAAAAAATCACACATTTGATGTAAAATATTCTTACACACATAGGGGAATTTACGTATTCTCGTCAATCTAAGCAGCGTCCGCACTTCTATTAGCATTTTCACAGCGTCACGCACATATATGACGTGTCTGTTTGTTTCAATTCATCTGCTGCTTGCTTCTCTATCCATTCCAATCGACAGAATTCTTCAAAACTGTTTGAAAGCGTTTTTACAACGCTCTAAACTTCTCAGGTGAGTGTGACTATTGTCGGCAGCCTCTTTTTCTTCGGCAACCTTCCCATTAGAACTGCGTGTTAACCAGCTGTTCTATTATCGGCAACTCGAAATCAGCCCCATTTTGTAGTACGTATGCTTCATTTGAAGAAAAATCTGGCATAACAGGATTGCTCGGTCCTACAAATATAATCAGATTGAAGCTGAAAGACTAAATAATCATTTGGATACATTCAGGGAAGTGTGTTGATGGTAAAACATAGTGAAATTAACGTTTAAATTTTGGTTGCCGAAAACAGTCAATGGGTGCCGAAGCCGACATTTACCCTATTACAATTGTCAAAGAAGAAAAGGTTTTCCTCAAAGAACAGCTCATGAAATGAAGAAAGGTGAATTCTGTGATTTTTCATTCAATAACAAAAAACAGCTAAGGTTGAATAAAATATGATGCAAAAGAACAGCTCATGAAATGAAGAATGGTGAATTCTGTGGTTTTTCATTCAATAACAAAAAAAACATACCAGCTGCTGCTATACTTTTCGATACAACGGTTCTGTTTTTGTTGTCATCAGAATGAAAACTAGCGGAACCGTCTGCTGATGATGTGATGTGAGCGATACTTCCATGAACAATGACGAGTTGCCGAAACAAACAAGGAACTGTGGCAAACGTACCATCTGTAACCCTTTGCCTGCCCAAGACGTCGCAAGTTTTCATGAGTTCCAAAAATTAAGGCTCTTTCATTATTGTCACCGAAGTCAGCAATCAATAGACGGTCCCCATTCTCATCCTTCTGGAATTCATCGGGTAGATTATGCCTAACGTCCATTATGCCTAACGTCCGTATGCCTAACGACCGTATGCCTAACGTCCATATGCCTAACGACCGTATGCCTAACGTCGTGTACCCGGGTAATGGATCTCATGGACGAAGGGAAACTTGAAGTTCGGCGAGTTCATGAAGAATTTTCGTTCGCAACGTCCACCATGGCAGTAAAAAGTATAACTCTTACACGTTAAACCATTGCCCAGTTTTGTCACTTTTCGAGTTCTATGCTCTTAACTCAGGGCGTTTATCATCGTTGCCAATCTGCACAGTACTGGAGTGCGAGCCAACAGCAAAGCCATGCTGCCACCTATTTGAATTTCTATCTTCTCAATGCAATAAGGCAGTTCTGTGTCAACCATATAAGATCACCATAAATACTTATTTGTACGGCTACGCTGGACATGGGTTAGCCCGGTGGTTGGAAAGGGGCACTCAGAGAGCCCAATTGCTTCAGGATTATAAGCTTGGTTGCTACCGTTTTGCTGGTTCCAGGAATTTCATTCATGCCAAGATTAGTAGAATTCCTAAACAATCTCTTTTGAAATTATTTGGGGGCCCTTCGGATAGGGAAAATGAACGAAGCTTAACCTCAAGTGCGTCCCTGTCGCTTCAGGTAACAGCGCCACGCATGACGTTTTCCAACAACACCTTACCTTGAGCACACTCGGGTTTTAGATCAGACCGGAGATACGCTTGACATCACCACGACGAGCCAGACGACAGACGGCGGACTTGGTAATACCCTGTAAGTTATCATGCAACACAACTGGCTCCTCCTTTGCCGAGTCTTTTGCCTCACTTGCCACGTCCAGTCATTGTTTATGCTGTTGATGTTTCTTCGGGTAAGGTTGAAACGAATTTCAACGGCGCCGGTGGTGTAGTGGTAAGCGTGATTACCTCTCACCCCAGCAGGCCTGGTTTCAATACCAGTCAGCGCCGCCGGGATGTTCTGAGGCATAACATCTCTGATCACGCCTTCCTTCGGATGGGAAGTAAAGCCGTTGGTCCCCGGTTCATAAGTTGATGGGTCGATAGGTAGGGTCCAGGTGTGGGAGCTGCCTTCCTGGCACGTCGGTAGCATTGGTGCACGGAAAACAAGATCGACGGAAAAAACAAACCAAAGGGAAAAAAAAAGGTTGAAACGAATTTGACAAGAAATTCCAATTTTCGGCTTTTTACACCTACTCGAGGTTTAAATTCTTCTTGTTGTTGTGTTCTTGTTCTTTCTTCGTTTATGATTGGTTGAACATAGCAAAAGCATGTTATAAAAGATAATGGAAGTCAGAGAAAAAATGTTATTCAACATATTGCATTCAACGTATCCACATCGTATAATGGCCGCACCAAGCAGATCGCTCGTAAGTCCACCGGAGGAAAGGCTCCTCTTAAACAGATGGCCATCAAGGCCACTCGCAAGAGCGCTCCAGCCACCGGAGGAGTCAAGAAGTCTCATCGCTACCGGCCAGGACCTGTCGCTCTGCGTGAGATCCGTCGTTACCAGAAATCGACCGAGCTGCTGATTGCAAGTTGCCTTTCCAGCGTCTGGTCCGTGAAATCGCCCAGGACTTCAAGACCGATCTGCGCTTCCAGAGCTCGGTCGTTAATGGCCCTACAGGAATCCAGCGAGACCTATCTGGTCGGTCTGTTCGCCATCCACGCCAAGCGTGTCACAATAATGCCAAAGGGCATTCAGCTGGCTCTTCGTATTTGTGGTGAACGCTCCTAATTTCTCAGTCGAAATCTAGCAACACCGGCCCTTTTAAAAGCCACTAAAAGATTCCACAAGAGAGTTGGGAAGGAAATTTCTGTTGCTTAAAACTGATCGCATCACAGTGAATCCTGATCTAAAAATTGCAACCAGCAAGTGCCCTAGAACCAAAAGCGGTGCGATGCTATGACGATGACTGTAAGGGGCTTAGAAGCAGAAGGGTGAAAGCCAATTCGCGTTATCGATTTCCTCTTTTGTGATGTCCATGGCTTTCTATTTCGTACTATTTTTGCTATGCTCTACTATCATCCACAATAACAAACGTATCAATGAATGTGTTTGCCGTCGAGTTAACGTTATCTGACTGTGCACTTTGCAGTTGCTCCTCCGTGAATGCTCAGATCTAATCCACTTGCACAGAGAACTACATAGATGGTGCATGGGATAAGCTTTCCATCTTCAATGTACAAGCACATTTATTCAATCTATAGATCAATTTACAGCGCCTGCCACGTCCTCACGGTCTTTTGGGGGAGAGAAGGATGATTAGTTCGACGTCCGGTTGTTAATAGAGACCGAGAATTCCTCTACATCTCCATGGCTGTCCCGGGAAGGATAGTTGTGTTAGTGAGGTAGGTTATTTTTAGATCAGGGTTCACTGTGGTAAGTGATGCGATCAGTTAAAGCAGAATTTGTTTTAATTTAAATCTAGTGGGGAGAGAATAAGGCAAAGTGCAAGGAAGGGGATAGGCTTGGGATTGAACTCCCTACCTTCTGCTCAGTAAGCAAAAACGGTAACGACTGAACCAACCGGTGAACACTCGTGTTTATTTAAGTTACCATGGAGACGTAATTTGTTATTAGCCCCGGTCCCTTTCAAATTGTATCATTATTTATGAACGGCCTTATATTTGAAATGACGTTTCACATTCATCTAGTGAAGTCCGATTTTCATTCAAATAATCGTTTAATCGATTAACGAACCGAAAAGTAAACTATTTATAATCGGTTAGATCATGCCGATACAAGCATTAACATCTCCACAGGATCATCACCGATCGTTTCAAACATGTGCTGCACTCTCATTGGTGGAAAAATGGCAGCACAGCGAACAAAAAATAATCGATTAGTTGTTAATCAAGTAATTAAAAACTTGGACACCTCTGATTTTGGTGTGATTGTTTTGATAAAAATGAGCGCAAATATCATCTCTTTCGAGGGGGCAGCAAAACCACAAAATTACCTTGAATACGGGGGGTTCTCATTGGTTGAAAAGGACCGTGAAAGAAGACACTAAAATAGAAAGTTTTTCTTCCGACAGTTTCATCTTAGTATTCATCTTTGACTGAACTACTGAACCTCGTCGTAATGCTACATCGACATGTTTCGTCTAGGAATGATTCTCTGATGACTGTGTTGGGGAAGCAGCATATGCATGTACGTAATTGGTGGATTTGTTAGTTAATTCGACGCTTTTGGACAATGCTGGACATTTACCACTTTTTCAATAGTTTCTTGTTGAAAATCAACATTCGGAAGCATTTTATCGATGCGTAACCATATTGCTGGTCGAGTTGTGATAAAATTATTGAAATTTGACCAAGGGCAGCTGAGTTATTAACGTTCAAAATCTTTCACAATTTTGTTTCATGTTCCTTTTTCAGTTTTCATAAAGTGTACCCCATATAGAAATCACCGACGTAGTCCTACATAAAAAAACACGTGTGATTATGTTTAGGGCATCCTAAAATAAAGTTCACAAAAGTCGCAAAAGTCGACAATTTTTTTTTGGTTTTCCATCCAAATGTGACGGTTGAAAAAATAGATGTATCCACAAGTAAAATTTATGACACATTAGAAACAATTTGGATTCTAATTGGAATTTCCTTCAAACTTTCACCATCTACTCAATTTTATTAAATTCACTCTACAGTATTGTTGATATTCTCATGAAACCTCGCACTTCAGTATATTATGTGTACAACATACTCTTGTTATATTCATTACAGTTCCTTTAGTAATTTCTTCAGATTTATCTACAAACATTTTTCAGAAAGCTTTTGAAATTCACCTTCGACCTTTTATTGAAGTTTGCTAATAATTTTCTTGAAACTTTCCTCAGAACACTCCTGAAAATTTCCTCAGAACTTTGTTAAAAGTCTTCTTAGAATGTTGCAATGGTTCTCCTTAAAATTCCCTGTTTTTTATTAAAAACCCATTGAATTATCTCAACAATATTCTAGTCAACATTGTCAATCTTTGAAGTGCCAGACTGTTGAAAAACAAACTTAAGAACTTTGAAAATATTTCAATATGTCAGATTCTTTGGCAAGTTATAGAGTCATTGGAGTTTCATTGAAGAGAAAAAATGCAAAGCTACAATAAATATTTTAAAACTTTAAAATCTGTATAATAGTTCTCAGTCCTTCAACAAAAACCAAGAATCATGAGGAGTTTCGTAGTATGTAACCATCAAGAAAAAAATATTCATGCTTTTTTCTAGTTTAATTAAATTATGAATCTAACTTCAATCTGATTCGGAAACTCAAACAAATGTGGAAGATAAACATTTAAAAAAGTTTACAAAAGCTAGTTAAACTAAAAATTTTAGCAAAAAAAAAAGTTTATCTTCCATTTAATTCCACTTAATTAATTTTGGTGTCCATGACAGATACGTATTTCGACTACAATGTGCAGTCTTCATCAGAGTCATTCCCACTAAAGAACTTCTAACAAAATCTAACCCCCTTAAGTACTCATCTCTTAGGTATAAGAGTCAAGATCATAGGTATAAAAATGAAACTACAATGTGTTGAATCGGGACCTACCTAACTTATAAAAACCAAAGATTTAAGTAAACTAAAGGAGAAAAATCTATTCAACTCTCTAATAAGGAAAATCCCAAAGGCTTGGTAGCCATCATAATGAAGTAATGAAATTGGGTTGTTAGCGGAATAAAACAGCAAAAAAAGGTTATCTTCCATTTAATTCCACTTAATTAAACCTAGGGGATGAGTACTTAAGGCTACGACTATGATTTTCGTGAATCACGAAATGAGATGCAAAGCGTAGAGAAAAACAACAATATGGAACTCATGGATTGGAGGATCAAATTAACTTGGTGAGACCTGTCCAAATACTTCTTACAATAAAAAAAAAACTTATTGCGTGCCAGGATTCAGGAGAACATTTTAAAACTGGAAGTGTGTGTGAAGCGGCTCTCGTTCTGATGGAGGAAGCTTTTTGGATACCGAAAGATAAAGTGTTTATTGTATTGTACTTTTTCACTATAGTTTTAAGATGTTTTGTATAGTGAACAAGAATCCTCGGCTCTGTAAAGTTAATTCGATTGAGCCCTATCAAATAAATTAATGAAGAAACAAAAAATATCTAGTGTATCAAACAATTAGTTTTAGTGACAAACCTTTTTTTTGCTACCTTTATGCTTGTGATTCTCCCATAGTTCGCCGTCGCGTCAGACGGAGTGAGTCGTTCCAGCAAATCATTTTACGCTATTTCGTACACCTGAGACAAACACACATTTACCGCGCTCGGCGGTACCAAGTCCTTCTGAATGGCAGTATTTCCCATGCATACATCTCATGGTTTCACGTTGGTTACATTACTCTGCCCGGTTTATGACAGTCAAGAGGCTGATTTTATTGCGGAATTATTCAAACTCATCTATCCCATCGGAAAACGAAGCGACAAGGTGGAGCTAGGGGGGAGCAAGAGGAAAAGCACGACAGAAAAATGGAATATCGCACCGCAGATGAACGGATGGAAAAACGAAGGTGGACACCCGATCAAAAAAAAATGTATTCCGTACTGGTACGAAAAAATCCGTCACCATCATGAGTTTATGTCGGGACTAAGAGACTTTAAATGATCTTTATTTCTTGCGTTTGTGTGGTTCACATGTATGAATTTTCAAGTGACACAGTATATTTGAGATTGTAACTATTATTTACAGTTCTTAGTCCTATCAGGCCTATTTTTACCACCTTGGTGGGATTGGTTTGATTTGAATTGGAAAAAGGAGACTACTTATAACTACTATTTACAACTACAACTAACCTACAACTACTATACACACCTAATTGCTTATCAAAGCATGTTTTGATGTATTGCATTGCTGTACAAACCTAGTCTTAATGTCATCAATTTTGTAATCTAATTTTCAAACATTTGCCTCTTGGTGGAGATCTGAAATTCTTGTGTCAAAGGGACGATCAAGGATCATCCTAAGCACTCTGTTCTGAGTGGCTTGGATTTTGTTCCTGTGAGTCTGTGCACATGATTCCCACACCGGAGCTGCGTAGAGGATGGCAGGTGCTATAATTTGTTTGTAGACAGCCAGTTTGTTCACCCTTGAGAGGCAGGATCTACGGCAAATCAGCGGATACAGACACCTAACCAAGGCGGAACACTTGATTACGGTTTTCTCTTCATGCGAGTGGAATAAGAGCTTTTCGTCAAACAACATCCCGAGATAGGTTACTTCGGCGGACCACTCAACCCTTGTGCCATCCATGATTACAGTACAAGATGGAGCTGGTTTTAGTTTGGGTGGTTGCCGATGGAGGAACATGATTGTTTGTGTTTTGGAGGCATTGATTTTGATTTTCCACGTGGTGGCATAATCAGCAAAGGCGTCAAGACATCGTTGGAGTTTGTTTGTTTTTCGCGAGGCACCCTACCCTTGACGGTTATTGCGGTATCATCTGCGAACAGAAGAACACGCAACCGTCGCCGAGGGGAGGAATGTCTGAAATGTAAATGCTGGAAAAATGGAACTCCTGCTGGGATAGAAAACGTGTTTGAAAGCGATACCTTAATCGACCTTTGCTGAAGGTAGTTAGGGTGATATGTCGGGACTTTCTCGTATTTTCTTTTATTTAGCGTCGGGGTGTGTTGGGCAATCGATTGCCAATCACCGTCATGCGTCGATTGCCAATTGGCTTAGCCAATTCTAGATGAATTCTTTAAAAGGTCCTATCTGCCTTGATCGAATACTT